AAAGACCTCTTGCTTTCACAGTTGCTCTCTCACTGTCTCCTCACTTTCTGGAGCATTAAAGGTGATGTAATAGACAGTAAAATACTTTCTCCTTTCACACTCACTGAGAATTTTAAATTGACCATTCTCCCCAAAAATAATTCTGTCATTGTTTCTTCTCCCTCATGTTGTTCCAGACCCGTATGCTGTTATATTTTTGGTGGAACACATTTTTCAGGAATTGTTTTGCAGCTCTTGCTATGCAAAGACAATTTATAGTGACTTGTGGCTGTCAAGCTCCGAAAAGGACAAAGAAAATCTTCACTAAAAATAATTTTCACATATAGCAAGCCATGGGAAAGAAATAGAGAAGTAGAGTGTGCTTCAGAGTGCTGGAAAGAACATTGCTTTCCACCCCTGATCATCACTGCAACAATCTCAGAGCAAAACATTGAAAACTATGTATTTTACAGTATCTAATTGCTAAACAAATTTCTTTCTAATAAGGAAAATATTTTAGGCAGTTTATGAGGTCTGAGTGTACATGGGAAACTGAATTTACCATAATACTCTGTAGGAGCGCAAAAACATAAATAAGCTGCATTCAGATCATGTCAAAATAATCATATAGGCCTACATATGAGCACACCCGGACACCATAATGAGAGCTTTTATTTTTATATTTTAATTTTATTTTATTATTTTATTTATTTTCTGTCACCTTAGTTTAAGCTTTAGTAATTTGATATTCTTTTGCCATTTTTAAGTGTTTTTCTGTGTCATTGTTTTTAATAATTCTATATAGCTTTAATTTACTTTTTTAATTTATTATTTATAGTACTTTTAGTACCTCAACTTAATCTCATTTCAGTTAGTTGCCAAAGCAAGATTTCATGTTTTTCAAGTTTTTCATGTTATAATTTAATTCAGCTTCAATTCAATTGCCAACAAAAATACTTTTAATAATTTTAGTTAACAATAACATTACTGATTAAAGAATTGCGGTGGAAGCAAATTAGTATTAATCCTGAGTAATAACTGTGATGGTCAAATTAATTTGTATGCATTTTCTGTAGTGTTGATGAAGAATAGTGATGACACTCGTTAGAAAATGCTATTCATTTAGCCTGTTTATGAGGAGACAAGGCTGTATGACCAAGTTGCTTTCCCCATCATTTTCTGTGACAACCAATTACACACCTAATGCACATTCATTGCTCTTCATTTTTTATACAGTAGCACTAAAATGGCTTTGTCATTATCAGGTATAGAAAAAGAGAGAAATAATGAAGGATTGTGTCAGAAAAGACTTGAGTGCACACATCACATCATAGTTATGATTTCCCAACACTTAAATAGCTTCTTCAAAAGGTCAGGGTATGGCTAGTTAGCATGGTCTAGTTACCCCCTGCTGGTAAATGGTGTAACTACATCATGTGGACACCACTTCATTAATATCCATTCAGAAATCAATGCTATATTATGACTACATAAACTGTTTTTGCAAGGAACATATATAATATATTGCTGTTACAGTAGTTACAGTTTTTTATTTATTTGTTTTATTAATTTATTTTGGAGGGCATGACCAGTACTCTCTGCTGCCACCTAGTATCTCTCTATCTGTCCCATTTGTTCTGCAGTTAACTATAGTCGCAGGCTGCTGTCCCAGAGTACTGCAGATATCTGAGTCAGCAGCTGCTGCAGTCATGCCAGGAGAGAATTATACAGACATAATTCCGAAACTGTCTTTAACTAACATACATCCTCTCTCACAGTCTTAAACGCTCCATATGGTGATCATTAATGCTGTTTCCTCCAGGGATTATCCTGATGTCTTGATTCGGGTGTTTCAGTGGCGTAATAAACCGTATGTGCACATCAGTCAGTACTCCCATGCTCTTTCTCACATGCTGTTTGTCCCATTGACAGTTCAGTAAAATTATGACTAGCATCAATATTAGGATGCTTTTCTCTTCCACAACTGTACATACAACTCTCTCTCTCTCTCTCTCTCTCTCTCTCTCTGTCTCTCTCTTTCCATTAGCAGTTGGCTGTGCTGCAGCAGGGCTGTTCTCTTTGCTGATGCTGCATTTCTCTCCACATTCATATCCTAATTTCACCGCTGTGCTGCATTTTCCCTTGAAAACTTTATGAAGGTCATTGTTGGATTAGAGTTAAGCCTAAACTGAGCCTAAAAGCTGTGTTTTAAATGCATAGTTATATCAGAATGGAATGTAATATAATTTGTCTGGTGCTCTGTTTAATTATAGACACATATATTCTATAAATTGGATTAGTTACAGTTTTTCTCAGTTGTTTTCACACTAAAATCCATGATTATTATTTGACAAAATTATGTATATTAAATAATAATGAAATTTCTGGGATTCTGTTTCTATTTTAATAAATATTATTTTTATATGAATTATTATTATTTTACTATTTTGGAACTGTTGGGACAAAGCACTTACAAAACTTATGATCTTATGAACCATCAGTTTCACTTTTACAAACAAAGGCTAATTCTTCAAACATATAAACACAAGTTGCATTTTATTCTCAAAACTCTAAATACAAATGAATCATTTTATAACCATTTTGTGCTCATGTTGAAAGCACTAGCATTCAGAAACCATCACAATGTCATCACAACCTCAGTTAACACACAGTTCTCATTATGTGAACATTAGTATGCAAACTACTTCACACAGCAGCCAGAATGGGGTTTGCAAAAATAGCTACAGAGTTCTGGGCTTTAGATGCAAACAATACTGAAAGTGTTCACATTAGAGGAATAGTATTAAATGAAGTCTGCCATTCACTTTTGAGTGCCAACATGGCTTCTTCTAAAATGTAAATTTGGCTCTTTATAGGTATATGATGAGGTTTGTTTTTTGTGTAAAGTTTGAGGTTTGTAAAATTTAAGTTGATTTCATGCTATATTTGTTATAGCTCAGCATATGTTGTGTTTTGGATGCTGTTGTCTACATCTGGCTTCTAGTTTAACCAGCAGGAGTTCTTTGCTCGACCTTTGCTCAGCTAGCAAAGTAAACAACATGATTAAACATATCCACCAACTTTACCAGCAGCAAAGTCGCACTAACCAGCCTGAACGAGCGTGTGCATTCATGCTAGAATAAGCTGGTTTTTCACCAGGGATTAAAAAATGTGTTTTAGAGAGGAATAGTATTAAATGAAGTCTCTGCCATTCACTTTTGAGTGCCAACATGGCTTCTTCTAAAATGTAAATTTGTCTCTTTATAGGTATATGATGAGGTTTGTTTTTTGTGTAAAGTTTGAGGTTTGTAAAATTTAAGTTGATTTCATGCTATATTTGTTATAGCTCAGCATATGTTGTGTTTTGGATGCTGTTGTCTACATCTGGCTTCTAGTTTAACCAGCAGGAGTTCTTTGCTCGACCTTTGCTCAGCTAGCAAAGTAAACAACATGATTAAACATATCAACCAACTTTACCAGCAGCAAAGTCGCACTAACCAGCCTGAACGAGCGTGTGCATTCATGCTAGAATAAGCTGGTTTTTCACCAGGGATTAAAAAATGTGTTTTAGCAATTGAGAAAAAAGTATAGTAGTGTACTGTATATATTTCAGGTAGAGCTATAATAGAGAAGTTTGTGGGAAAGTTCAAAAGTTTGAGTCAGTTATGGGAACACATTCATATTTAATGTTCAGTCCCCGTAGGGGAAGAGAACAAATGTGGAGTGTGATGTTTAGAGGTGGAATTTAAGTAAACCTTAAAATAGCTGGAGCTCAGAAAAAAAAGGTGCATGTCTCTAGAGATTCTCCACTCTGGCACGGAGAGAACATTCCTAATTCAGACTAGTGACTCACTGCCACTGCTCTGCCATTTCCTGATTTGTTTGTTATTAATTTGTTTACCGTTTTTCTCATTTGCTAAGACACGCTTAATGAAACTGGGATCCTCTTGATCTTCATCATCACATTCTTAGCTTCTCTTGCAAATGCCTTAACACTTTTTCATTTGTTTCACACATTTTTCACACCCTTTGTCAAAACAGTCACTACAGATCTCATTGAAAGACCCCAAACTCTATTGGATTCACTGTGTTGATCAAAAGGAAAACATTTATTCACAGCTGATAGAAAGTACTTGCATAATTGTGAATTTCTAGTGCACCTGTGTGAAACTCATTTGCACAACTCTTCAATCAGCAATCAGTCCTCATCCCTTTATAAAAGATTCCACCTCTGTCCTGCTATTTGCAAGTATGGATCAAAGAGGCCAAAGCTTCAACCTCTGTAAAGTGAGGAGACGCGGGAGGAACATTTATTGGGCAGAGGGTCACTGTTGCAGTGCCAGGTCAGAGGGGTGCCAATATCACCATGTGTGCTGCCATCTCCAATGATGTCCTTTGCCACATACAAACTATCAGTTCAATACAGAATGCCTCATCACATTTCTTGATGCACTAAATGAAAGACTGGTTTCACCTAAAGAGAGAGGGCTGTTGATGGATTTGCCATGCAAGGAGGTATTTCCATTGGTGCATTGCAACACTGCAAGGGAAAACATCCAATTTTAAGTTCTGAGTATTTCAACTCTTCATTTTGTTTTTTAGATATTACCATCCATAAGTTTCCTTTGTTTTTGTTTTTTTAAACTATATTCAACACTTCTGAGTTTGAACAGTGTAATTTCATATTGATAGCTGTGTTTTGTATTTTGTTGTCCATTGTGTAATTATTGATTGAAAGAATAAATTAATTTGACCACAAGCTGTGGTGTTTGATGGAAGTATTTGCTTATGTTGCATGTTTTTAATGTTTTGTGAGTGTTGGAGCATTTTGCAAACAAAATGAGTCATTTTGGCCATTGAGTTTCAGTTTCAGCCTGTGTGTTAACTGTTTTGAAAATGTGATGTCCGAGTGGACAAGTGTGTTTAAGCAATTGAGAAAAACTGTAATAAGGGATGTGGGAGACTTGGAAACAGAGTTTAAACTAATTTCAGACTCTCTCTTTTTTGTCTGACCCTCTCAGATGGCAAGGTGTATGCGCTGGGTGGGATGGGAGCTGACACGACCCCTCAGGCCTCAGTGAGGCTGTATGAGCCAACAAAGGACCAGTGGTTGCCCCTCACCTCCATGCCCACCCCACGCTACGGAGCCTTCTCCTTGCTGCACGGTAACAAGATCTATGTTCTAGGTAAGCCCTCATAAAATTGTCTCATAAATCTGAATAATTCGGTTGTTTGTCAGAGACACACTCTTGGTTCCCTAGGAATAATAAGAGACGACCAAATAATAAAAAGGGCAGACAGGCAGGAGAGTCTAATGGTAAAACTTTTGTTTAGTGTGAAAGGGGATCCACAATTCAAATCCCAACCTAACATAGTTTCTTTCTCATTTCTAATCTAATCTTGACAGCCATTTAACTTGAACTTCAGCATTTTCATCAACAGGAAAAAAAATTATATAGTTTTCTAGTGACATGATGGTGGTTACACTCTTAAAAATAAAGGTGTTTAAAAGGTTCTTCACAGCGATGCCATAGAAGAACCATTTTTGGCTCCACAAAGAACCATTCAGTCAAAGGTTCTTTAAAGAACCATCTCTTTCTTACCTTTTTATCATCTGAAGAAACTTATTTTGCCACAAAGAACCTTATGTGAAACAGAAAGGTTCTTCAGATGTTAAAGGTTCTTTATGGAACCATTTAGACAAAAAAGTTTCTTCTTTGACATCGGGAAGCACCTTTATTTTTAAGAGTGTCGATTATGACAAAATTTGTAAATTAGAGCAAATAATCTGAATAATTGGATACATTTAGACATGAATGGTTGATTTCTGTTACAGCATTTTAGAAAAACACTTTCAGTTCCTACAATAATCATGCATATTTTGTATAGGCCTATACACTACTGTTCAAAAGTTTGGGGTGATAAGACTTTAAATGTTTTTTTAAAAAGTCTCTTTTGCTCACCAAGGCTGCATTTATTTAAAATACTGTGAAAACAGAACAATTGTGAAATATTTTTACAATTCAAAATGACTGTTTTCTATTTTATTTCTATTGTATTTTAAAATGTAATTTATTCCTGTGATGCAAAGCTGAATTTTCAGCAGTCATTACTTTTCAGTGTCACATGATCCTTCAGAATGCATTCTGATATGCTGATTTGCTACTCAAAAAAAAACATTTCTTATCATTATCAATGTTGAAAACAGTCATGCTGCTTAATATATTTTGTGGAAACCATGAAAAGCAAAAATAAAGAACTGCATTTATTTGAATTGGATAACTCTTTTGTAATATTATAAATGTTTTTACTGTCACTTTTGATTAATTTAATGTGTGTTTGTCGAATACAAGTATTTTTTTATTTTTTTTTTAAATCTTACTGTCCCCAAACTTTGGAACAGTAGAGTATGTCTATGCATATCATCAACATATATTGTTTTAAAGGAATGAAAATGTGAGTCTTCTCTCTAGAGGTGCTTAGCAGATGGAGTACTAGACTAGCCAGTAATTATAATGTAACTTATTTTCCATGTCAGACTGTCTCACAATATTCTCCAGGAGCAGCAGATGTGGTAACAACACCTGGTAATTGTTTATGCCGTGCCAGGGCTGATAAGAACCGTGGAGTGGAGTCATTTCTCAGTGAGGGGAAGTGAAATCTGCACTGCAGTATGCTGCAGGGATCTGACGGTTTACAGCAGAGCTGTTCAGTTCTTACCTCAGTGTTGGAAATCACAAAGGAGCATTAAAGGGGTCATATGATGCGATTTCAATTTTTCCTTTCTCTTTGGGATTAGAATGATCATGGATCATGTGACCCTGAAGAGTGAAGTAATAAATTCTGAAAATTCAGCTTTGCCATCACAGAAATAAAATTAAATACATTATATATAAGAAGTTATATACAGTGGGTACGGAAAGTATTCAGACCCCCTTAAATGTCTCGTCGCTCAGGCCAAACGGCATCACAGTATGGTAAGGGGCGTAACATTATCGTCACACGCTTGAGGTATTCGGCCAATCACAACGCACTGGATAGCTGGCCAATCAGGGCACACCTCGCTTTTCAGACCGATGAGCTTTGTAAAAATCGACATGTTTCAGAAAGGCGGGGCATAGAGGAGAAACAATAATGTACAGTATGTGGAAAATAATGTGTTTTTTTTACTTTAAACCGCATAAACACATTTCATTACACCAAATACACAAAATAATGTTATTTTTAGCAACATCATATGACCCCTTTAAATGGAAATCTACACTGCAGGTTCCCATGATACACTCCCATGATAAAGTCTGTCCTTTAAAAGAGACACAGCCCTTGGCTGCAAGTTACTGCCTGTTTTATGTATGTGTGTGTGTGTGTGTGTGTGTGTGAGAAAGAGAGAGAGAGAGAGAGAGAGAGAGTATGTAGATTTTATGTATAAGTAAACATAAATTATACAAATGACAATTATACAAAGGACAAAACATTGTCCTTCGAAGTTAGAGCTAAATATGAGCGATAAATTGGTCAGTGACAAACAAGAGTGTTTACAAAAAAGAAAAGAAAAAATCCTTTATCCTTATATTCATGTTGGTCAAGTATTTACACCTTATATACATGTGAATGTACACATTTTAATACAAATTTTACAAATATTTTCAAGGTAAAATGTATTTCTATTACAAATAACATGAATTATTAATTAATTAATTAATTAATATTATTAAAGGGGTCATATGATGCTGCTAAAAAGAACATTATTTTGTGTATTTGGTGTAATGAAATGTGAAATGTGTTTATGCAGTTTAATGTTCAAAAAACACATTATTTTCCACATACTGTACATTATTGTTTCTCCTCTATGCCCCGCCTTTCTGAAAAGAAAGGAAAAATTGAAATCGCATCATATGACCCCTTTGAAAATGTTGGGGTTTTACATTTTACAACTTTTCATAAAAAAGTAAAGCTGTTGGATATTTTGAGAGATTTATGCCAAGTTCACACTGCACGATTTTAGCCCTGATTTTCACTTGCCGAAAAGTTTTGCAAAATCGCTGACAAATGCCCGAAATTGGAGGCAAATCAGTGCTCATTCACACGAGTGACAGTCACGCAGTGTGAATGATCAAAGACGCAATCTGAGAGAATTGCAGATGCGTCGCCGACGCCCATAAAATGTTTGCATTAGAATATACAAAACAGGTACATGAAGATATATATATATATATATATATATATATAATTAAACATTAAATGGGGCTTGGGTTTTTCCTGTAAATAATATTCTTCTATAAAGGACAAAAGATTTATTGCATTTTTCTTTTTCATCACTTTGAGGGCTTTTGTAGGCTATAAGAAATAAGCTCATTATAAAATGCACAAAACGTTGGTTTCACTTTCAAGTACTTAGATTAGTGTATATAACATTTTCCCAGCAGAAGTATGTTGTTAACAAGGAAGTAATTTTTTTTTAATTAGTGTGTGTTCGGGGAGGACTTATAGACCAGAATATCAGCGTGATCTTAATAGCGTAATTTCCTTTTCACGTCTCGTGTGCATTTGGCTGTATTTTGCAGACCAGACAGAGTTGTCGACGATTCTTCCTATTGTAAAGTCATGCAGTGTGTAACCTCCTGTCACCGATCCATCGTGCAATGTGAACACAGCAGCAACTGAATGCTACCCCAGATAGTGGTGCAGTCTGAAAACAACCATGATCCGATGACTTTGAAAATCATGCAGTATGTACTCGGTTTCATGATTTGTTTTCAGCATGTTAGTCATGCCATATGACTTTGATTTGGCATCATTTTTTAGCTCCCCCAAAAATATCAAAATGAATTTTATATAGAAGTATCGTCAATCAATTGTATGCATAAATTGCAGTTTTATTGTTTATTTTTATTTATATAATTAATAGATTCAGAAACAAAAAATCATGTTACTTTTTTAATTCTAGACATGCCAAAGATTTCTTTTAAGATTAGGGTTAATAATCTAATAATTAATAATAATTAAGAACATTTCATATTTAAATAGCTAGGTGAATGTGTTAATGCATGAACTGATACAAAGCAATTTAAGTTGCTTTGCATTAAAGCATCTGCCAAATGTGTACATGTAAATGCCTGAGTTTGATGAGCATTTGGAATGGTTAAACTGTGTATGTGTGAGTTTGATTGTTGATCAGAGTGTGTTTGTGCCCATGGGTTTGATGAGCATGTGGGGTTGCCAGTATGGGGTCTTGTTTTGCCAGATTTGTCCTCTTTCTAACCTCTCTGCACTGTGAGACATTCTGTTCAGGTCAGACACAAAGATCAGCTGCCCTCTCACTCTTTGAGAAGTCATTAAAACTCTGCCTCCCTACACACACACACTAATGAGGCCAGAAGATTTTTTTGTATAAGGTGTAGGCTGTACATGGCAAGAGTGATGGACAACATCACCTTCCCATGCCAGCGTATGATTGATCAGCCTGGTGAAGCAGATGTGCCCTCATTACTGTTACAGTACACACCTAGACTTACAGTCCCTCACAGCAAGTACAACTTCTGTGTTTCAACTTATTATCTAGTCTTGTTTGGTTTCATTTTACAGCTCAGACTGAATGTGAATAGAAATGCGGTGAATTCAGTAGAGATGTTCTGATATGCTGTTTAAGATTGCTTGAACGTAGATTAAGGAGAATATGTTAATGTGCATCTCCACCAATAATTTGCCTCTGGGATAAAAAAATAAAAAATAGATAAATAACTTCATCTTCCTTTAATGGTTTTGGTGACTCTTTATAACCAAATAGTAAAAACTAAAGTGAAGAGTTTGTTCATTTAAACTATTTATGTTTTTCCAGCTAACTCTAAACTTATTTTGTTTCTTCTTTCTGCACAGTTCAATTTGATTGGAGTTTGATAAATTCAACCCCTAAAAACCTTAACAATTTATGAAATTATTAGAAATTGAGATGTGATGTGTGAAGTAAGTGGAATGGGGAGTAATACAGATTTTCCCTGTGGACTCATGATTCTTTTCCTCCGCTGTGACACAGTTTTGTCATTGATTTGACATCACAGGGAATAATTCATTCAGAGTCTCTCTGTATGCAACCCTTGCTTTTGCTTATATCCCTCCTTGCCGTCTTCATCATCATTCTTTCTTTCTATCTCTGTTTTTCACTCTCTGTCCCTCACTTGTGCTCAAA